CACCGCTGCCAGCCACAGCTGCCCACTACCCCACGCTTCCATTCTCTACTCAGGAGCCTCCTGCTATGTACTCCAAGGGCACATTTCCAAAAAGAGATCATGGGACATGGGCAGCGGAGAGAGACACAGCTTGGGGTTCCCGCTCAGCCTGGGCGAGAAAGCCTCTGCAGTCCCAGAGCGGCCCTCTCGGCGCTCGGAGCATGCGCCGAAGGGTTCCTACGGCCGGAGGCACAAAGCGGGCCTTCTGGACCGACGCATGCGCAGAGCCATGGGCCTCCCTCGTGCATTTCCCGCGCCTGCGCAAGATCCTCCAGGCCGGTAGGGGGCGATGAGACGGTCCTTACCCGGGTTTGGCACCGGCGGCGTAACCCGGAAGAGGTTACTTAATAGGACTCTGGAGGCCGTGGAAGCGGCTGCTTGGAGTCTGCACGTAGCTGTGGCGCTACAATGAACGCTCCTCCAGCCTTCGAGTCGTTCCTGCTCTTCGAAGGCGAGAAAAAGTAAGTGAGGCCGGTTGGGGTCGCGGAGGGTCTGGCCGAGGCTCGCGAGCCCTCGACCGTCGGCCGTCAGCCCTGCGGGTCCTGTGGTTCTCCCGCCGGTCCTCCGCTCGGGGACGGAAGCGGGTTTTGCTTGAGCAAAAGGTTGGCTTGGGCCGGGCCCTGTAGCTCACGCCTGTAATCCTAGCACTCTTGGGAGTACAGGACGGAAGGATTGCTTGAGGTCAGGAGCTCGAGACCAGCCTGAGTAAGAGCGAGACCCGGTCTCTACTAAACGTAGAAAAAGTAGCCGGGCGTGGTGGCGCGCACTGTAGTTCCAGCTACTCGGGAGGCTGAGGCAGGAAGATTACTTGAGCCCAGTAGTTTGAGGTTGCACTGAGCTACGATGACGGCACTGCACTATACCGGGTGACAGAGTGAGACTCTGTCTCAAAAATAAATAAATAAATAAAAAGGTCGGCCTGTGTCTGCCAAGCTTAAGGCAGTCCTGAGCGGTTAGCGGCAAGTGTACTCATTTTGCAGAAGGGGAAACTGAGGCTCAGACAAGTTGAGTAACTTGCCTCGGGCACGCAGGAAGTGGCGAGGCTTGTATTCGAACCCAGATTGTCTGCCTCCAAAGTCCTTTTCCTCTGGGGTCTGGCAGCCTCCCCACTGGTCTCCCATCCACCACCTTCATCTTCCATGTGACAGCCGGAGTGATGGTTCTAAAGCCCACATCTGATCTGTCACGTGCCTGTGTAAAACCTGCTGTGACTAGGCCGGGCGCGGTGGCTCACGCCTGTAATCCTAGCACTCTGGGAGGCTGAGGTGGGTGGATTGCTCAAGGTCAGGAGTTCGAGACCAGCCTGAGCAAGAGCGAGACCCCGTCTCTACTAAAAATAGAAAGAAATTATTTGGACAACTAAAAAATCTATATAGAAAAAATTAGCCAGGCATGGTGGCGCATGTCTGTAGTCCCAGCTGCTTGGGAGGCTGAGGCAGTACCATTGCTCGAGCCCAGGAGTTTGAGGTTGCTGTGAGCTAGGCTGACGCCATGGCATTCTACTCCAGGCAACAGAGTGAGACTCTGTCTCAAAAAAAAAAAACAAAAACAAACCTGCTGTGACTTCTCACCACCTGCTGGTTGAAGGAGCCTAGTGGTCAGACAGCCTGGGCTTGGCTTCTGTATCCCCCACTTAATGAGACTCTTATTTTTGGGCGAGTGACTTGCACTGTCTGAGGCCATTTCCTCACCTGGAAAATGGGTGTATTACTGTATTTAAACACGAGATTTTTCTGTTAGATTAAGTGAGGTAATTTGTGTAAAGTACTTAGTCCAGGGCTGAGCACATAGAAGTCGGCTTAAATATTGTCTCTTCTTATTAATATTTGTAACAGCCTGGAATGCAGAGTCTTATGACCTGCACTTCAGCCTCACTTTAGAGCAGACTCTCAACTGGGGACCATCTTGCCCTCCCAGGGACATCTGGCAAAAATGAAAAGTTTTGGTTGTCATAGGGGTTACTACTGACATCTACTGGGTAGATCCTGAGATGCTGCTGATGTCCTGCAGTGTACAAGACAGCTCCCCGCAGAAAAGAATTATCTGGCCTAGAATGTCAGTGGTGTCAAGACTGAGAAACTCTGCTTTAGGAAAAAGGAGCAGTCCAGAGTGGGTGAGGGCACCAGAGTGGGGTTAGCTGGGGTCCGTGTAGACACAGTGCTGCGCTGAGTCAGAGAGGTCTTCGTGGGATGAACAGATTGAGAAGGGCCTGGTCGGGGAGGGAGGCAGCACGTGAGCCCGCTTCCAAGGGCAGGGTTTAGCCCCTGCCCCTCATCTGTGGCCTCTCTTTCTAGGATCACCATTAACAAGGACACCAAAGTACCCAATGCCTGTTTGTTCACCATCAACAAAGAAGACCACACACTAGGAAACATTATTAAATCGTAAGTTCCAGCTCAGAGGCTCTCAGGGATTGTGTTTAAATGGGGCTCTTCAGGGCAAGGCATGAGTTCCATAAGATTTTTTTAGTTTCTCTGGGTGCTTGCTCTGGTATTTCATAATCCTGGTACCTTTTTCTCAAGGGGACACTGAACCGTATCTGTTCACGTAAGCCACATTTCTGCATTGGCTTATTTATCTATCTAGAGTGAGTGTGCGGCAAGTGAAAAGTACACCTACTTGTGTCATCATGCTGGTGAGTACGGAGAAGCAGTCAAGGTTAGCTCTCTCCACCACACCTCTGTCAGTGATCTGACCGCCACAGAACAAGGCAGAGAATTGGAAGAGGCGTTCTGTGGCTGTCCAGGGCCCCTGGTGGGCCCCAGACATTGGTTGGTGGGTGTTTGCTCACTCTGGCCCAGGAACTTGTTACTTGACTGCAGATGTGGCTCTTCCCTCGGGTGCCATTGGTGAAGCCAGGCCTTTCCCAGGCTTGCGTATTGGAGGCCAAGGGTCTCCTGGTGCATTAGGGTGTTGGGATGTCTACTGCTGCCTGGAGAACTCTTGCCTGGTGTCCTCACCCATGCAAGGGCCCCCCTCATGGTACTCACACTTGACTCTGAGCCGCTCTAGAGACCGCTGTGTGCCAGGGCATGTACACAACACAGCCTTGTAGAACGGCCCAGTGTGCGTGGACAGCCTGTGCTGCCTAGAGGACTTGTTTCCATCTCCCTGACTGCTCAGAGTCTTGCCCTTCTCACCCCGTTGATGTGCTGAGCAGATGCTCTTTTTGGGCTTTTGTTCTTGTTTACTCAACACCGGCTGGACATGACTGTGCAGGGAGGTCTGTCAGCACTGCAGGGTCCCCGACTTCCGCTGAGGGAAGAGGTTGTTGGAAACTCTATTCACAGTTAGGTCCTTGATCCTGACGGATGCAGGGGGCAAGGGGGTGTGGGTGGGGTGGTATATCTTCTCGAAAGTGTGTTTTACTTGAAGATTTAGGGGAAGAGAAAGCTCTTTGGCTAGAAAGCCTTGAGCCATGAGCTGGGGGCCACCTAGTAGCCTTGAGGGCCTGTCTCAGGCCAGAGGCTCAACCTCCCTCACATTGCCTGTCTCTGTGTCTCAGACAGCTGCTGAAGGACCCACAGGTGCTCTTTGCTGGCTATAAAGTCCCCCACCCCTTGGAGCACAAGATCATCATCCGCGTGCAGACCACACCGGACTACAGCCCCCAGGAGGCCTTCACCAATGCCATCACCGACCTCATCAGCGAGCTGTCCCTGCTGGAAGAGCGGTTCCGGGTAGGAGCCCGGGGTGCAGCTGAGGGGGGGATGGTGCAGGGCGCTGGAGCTGCCAGTGCTCCCAGAATTCCAGTGTCCGCAGGCCACGCCTAGGCTGCTTCCTCAGGGCATTTCGGGGGAGGGGACGGCAATGACAGAGCAAGGATGTGTGGACTGAGGGATTGTGGAGTTGAGGCCTATGGCCTGCTGTCTGCTCCAGGGTCCCTCCTTGTGTGCTCTAATTGTCCCTGGAGCGACAGGAGACCTACTGCCCTTTGGGGCTGCTCTTCCAAGTCCCTCATCTAGTGCTATAGGCTCTGGTTTGTAAGGCCTGGCTACTTGCAGACATTTGTTTAGCAGGCAGCTCATCCCAGGGTGGTGTTACACCTGTCGGGGGGAGGGTCTCAGGGTCTAGAACAATTCAGAGTGGGAAAGAACCATGGCTTGTGAGATGTTCAGTGTCTGAGCTGTCTGCGCACCAGTACGCACCCCTGCTATACGACTCCAGCCCCAGGCTGCAGAGAATGGGGTGGGCTGGGCTAGCTCAGAGGTACCCTTTGCCCAGCTCCCTGGAGCTGCCTGGGGCCTGGTTTGCTGCCTCGGCTTAATCTCCCGTGGAGTGTAGCCGATGGCTGCCCTCGGGAGGGCGTGGCAGCAGCTTCTGGTTGGACTTTGGTTAGGGGATATTGGGGGGGGTTTCCACCATTCTTGCCCTGGCCATGCAGCTAAGTCGCTGCCTTCTTCTCTCCCAGGTGGCCATTAAAGACAAGCAAGAAGGAATTGAGTAGTGGGCTGCAAGGACCTTTGCCTGGCCTGTAAGCCCAGTTTCTACTTGGCGCCAGGCCCTTCTCTCCAGGCACGAGAGGAGAATGGCCAGTCCTGGCTGTGGCAGCTGTGACCCTCCTTGGAGCCATCTGTGAGCCCCTGACACTGATGGGGCCTGTACATAGATTCTGTTTTATCTTCCTAATAAAGTATAGCGGGAAAAGACTCAGCCGTGGGCGTAAGCACATGGATTGTCAGGCTCGATGGAGGCAGATGACCTGTTTCAGACACACTCTGGGACATTTCAAAGCGTGGATTGGCCCAGAGACCTTGATTTCAGTCTGAGAGGTTGGCAGGGACAAACTCATTTTGGACCAAAACTTGGGAACCTGGGGACACTGCTGGGAGGCAGTCTTGAGCAGCAGGGAACTGTGAGAACCCTCGACCTTCCATGAATCTCTCTTCTAGAAGCCTCAGCTGCCAGGTTTGCCTGTCTTAAGGTGGGACCCACACAGCTGCAGACAGCTCTCCAAAGGCTCTCGTCCACAGTAGAATTTAATACAAATATTCACTGGTAAAAAGACCACCACTGCCAGCGCAAAAGCTGAATAAGTTAAGTTGTGTCCCTGGTGCTTTGTGGTAGAGGCAAGAGCTCCTGTCAGAGGCTACTGTCTCTTCCAGATGGCAACAATGTTGGAGTCCGTCAGAGCGGTGAGGTAGGTAAAGGTGGGGTTGGCCACCACCGTGTTCACCATGGTCTTGGTCACCGTCTGGCTGTGGGCCCAGGGCTGTGGCCACTTAAGGATCTGGTGGGAAGAAAGGGGTTGGGCACCTGCTTCCCAGAGACCAGGCCTGCACACTGCACAGAGCCGGCCCTGGCCCGGGGAGGAGTGAGCTGGGCAGTACCTGCGTGGGGGCCTGCGGGGCAGCTGGCAGCGGGGAAGGCTGCTTCAGGATGCTCCTGACATCGTAGATCCACACGCTGCCCTCCTCATCCCCACACAGCACGATGCCCTCATCTGCCAGGACAGGGTGGGAGCCTAAGGTGGGGCGGAGCTCCAGGAGGAGTGGGTGGGAGGGGGTGGGCAGGGGGGCTCACCAGGGCAGGCGCTGAGCGAGAAGTAGGCCAGCTCGGTTGGGGACCACTGCAGCCGGGCCAGGACGACCACTGCCACTGTGGACTGGTGGCCCCGACCCACCCATGTCTGCCTCCAGCTCCATAGGCAGATGGTGCCCAGGCCGTTCCCCTTGGAGGCTGTGGGGGAAAGAGAACTGTGGTGGGTCCCTCCCAGACACCTCTGGTCCACACTGGAGACACCTCAGAAGCCCTTGGGCCTAAACCCTAGCCCAGGGAGAAACCACCCATGTGGGTGCCCGGAAGCCAGGCCGTCCCCCAGGCCAGGCTCACTCACCCACAACATCGTCATTCACGAATGCCAGCCCATCCACTCTCCGTGCAGATGCCTCGGAGCCCTCAGAGAAGACGAACTCCACCTCACACACCCTGCGGGCAGCAGAAGACACAGGCTGGCTACTCCTTGCACCTGCAAAGAGCTGCCCCGGGCACCTGCTCTGGGCCAGGCCCTGTGTGAAGGTTGGAAGATGGGACCCCCGACGCTTTCTTGGCACTGGAGAGGGTCAGCCTTGCCTGGAAGGTGGGACCAGCAGCTCGGTGTCCCGAGTCGCTGTAGTGGGAGCCCAGACGCGTGAGGGGTGGGCAGTGTGGTCACGAAAGGTTCTGGAGGGAGCCGGTGCCTCTGGGACTGAGTGTGAAGTGAGCAGGGTCCACCAGGGCCGAGCAGAGCAGGTGTTTCTAGGCCCGCCCTTGGACTTGGCCGGCATGGGTGGGGTTTGCTCTGACAGGAGGCAGTGGGGAGTGGCTGCTGAGCGTGTGGTGGGCAGAGTATGACCTCTGCTTGGAAAGGCCACCAGGCAGCTGTCCGAGTGCTGAAGAGGCCAGCCTGGAGCCAGAAAGGCAGCCAAGCACTCAACTATGGGATGGGCATGAGCCACGACTGCGGCGGGGGAGTAGGAGAATCAGATGCATCCAGCACAGGGGACCAACTCCACAGGACATGGCAACCAGGCAGGACGCTGCCACCGTCTCTGCCGAGGCTTTGCTGCTTTCTTCCATATAGTAGCTACTTCACTCCTGCCACCCACCCTACCATTCCTCCGGAGTTATTCATTATACTTCTTACCATGGCCAGCAAAGCCCAGTGTGCCTGGGCCAACTGCACCTGTCTTGTCAAGCAGTGGCCAAACAGCTGCATGGTCAGCCAGCTCTCCCCACCACTGGCCCTTTGCACATTGCCATTCTATGAGCACCTTCTCTCCCTCTGCCCGGCTGACTCCCCTGTAGGGCCCCCTGGGAGGAAAGCATGAGCCCTAGAACGTACCCATTTGTCCCCTGGTCACCTCAGCAGAGTCCCCTTGCTCCCCATCACTCTTTCCTTTGTGGGGTTTTAACTGGCTTTGCTTAGTGCCTGTCTCCCCCACTAGGCTGGGAGCCCCAGGCCAGGCGCCGTGTCAGGGGCTTCCCGGGTGCTGCACATGAGCCTCAGTGTGGCATTTCCAGCTTCTTCCCTAGCCAGATACCACCTCACCTGCCCTCTGCTAGTACTGGGATACGAGTCATTGTTCCCTTTTTACAGATGAGGACATTATGCTAAGACAGAAAGGTCACACTACCAATGAGTGCCAGGACCTGGGCTTGATCACTTGGGGACACTGTGGTGCTGAAGCCTCTAGTAAAGGTGAGGTGACCACAGCCCAGTCTGAGAGAGAACACCAGGGTGAGGAAGGGATCACACATCACATGGTCCTTTTGAGAACCTAGCAGAAGGTGGGGAACAGGCCAGCTCTGCAAAGAGGCCTCTGAAAACAGCCCCCAGGGCAGAGGGCGTGGTGTGCCCTGGCTGATTCGAGTCCACCTTGGCGACAGCTGCCCAGCTCAGCTTTCGAGACACCCCTGCCTGCAGCCTCACCTCTTCTTCTGGGGCTGGTCCAGCCGCACATCCCAGCAGCAGCAGCCCCCCTCGCAGCCAGCCAGCAGGTAGGCATCCGGGCAGGAGGCGACAGGGCAGAGGCGCAGCGGGATGGAGGTGGTGTCGAGCATGAGCAGCTGGCTGGTGGCAGGCCAGTGGGAGAGCGTGAGTCTGTGGACCCACGCCCCCAGCCACTGCCCAAAGGTCTGCCCCAAGCATCACCTGGCCTGGAATTCGTAGTCTTGGTTGGGCACCCCAATGTCCCAGAGGATGATCCGCTTGTCATACGAGGCCGCTGAGGACGGGGTGGAGAAGGCAAGGGGAGAGGTGGCCCTGAGCAGGCCCTGCTCCCTCCTGTAGGCTGAGCCCGTGGTCCCAAGGCCAGCCCCTCGGGCAGGGAGGGAGGCCTGAGGCTAGGAGACAGGAAGACTCATGGGCCCAGGATCCCCGTCGTCCTGCTCTAACCTAACGTGCCTGGCACCAGCAGCCTCTTTTACAGCTCATGCCTCACCCCTGGTTTGCCACACCTGGAGGGCCAGGGCTATCCCTCCAGGTCCCTGACAAGGAAAACAAAGTGGCCTAGGTTGTTGGAAAACTCCAAGACCACAGAGTAGACTGGGGACAAAGCCAGGATCCAAAGCCCAGCCAGCTAACTGTGAAGCCATGTCGCCTCCTACCAACATCAGAGCCAGACAGAGAAGCCCAGAATTGGGCCTAACAGCCACCAAGCTCCCTACAGTCCCAGAGGGTAGCACTGTGCCATCCGGGCAACGGGACAGGGGTGCTGAGGGGAGCCCTGGGGTGAGAGGAGAGGGTCTTACTGAAGAGGTGGGTCTCGTGGGTGGGACTGAAGCAGAGAGTGGCGATGGCCTTCTTGTGGGCCCGGATGACTCCGCAGCAGAAGCCAGCCCGCACATGCAGCAGACGGACCTGGCCCCGCAGGCCCGCGGCTGCCAGCACACTCCAGCGCTTCTTGTGGCCCGTCTGCGTGACCACCATCAGGGCTGTCCAGGCCACAGAGAAGAACTCCTGGGCCGGGTGGGGGGTAGAGGAAGCAGTCACTGGGCAGAGATACAGGTATGACCACACATGCAGGCCTGGGCCCGGAGCAGTGAGGCCCAGCACAAAATAAAAAGGTCGTGGTGAGGAGGGGGCTGGTTGGACCACCACCCCAGCCTCCCATCCCGAGAGTAGGCTGTACCCGCCACCCTGCACTCACCTCGCCTGGTGCCTTGTACTTGTGTAGCACGATGCCCGTCTGGCAGTCTATCACGCACACGGCCTCCCCACCACACGTGGCCACCGTCTGAGACGTGGCCCCTGAATGCCCAGTTTGCAGGGGGTCAGCTGAGTGGCAACGGCATCTATGCTCTTCCCTGCAAACCCCTCCTCCCGGCCTTGAGGAAGCATCTTCACCTGTCTCTCCTAACTCCCTCATCGTCCAGGCTGTCCCCTGTTTCTGTGGCCCTTTCCCTTCCCAATGCCCTCCTGCCCAAGGACGTACCCTCCTCCCAGGCCGGCTCAAAGGCGCAGGCCCACAGTTGGGTCTTGAGGTCATCGGGGCTGTTGTTCTTACTGTGGCACTGTAGGAAGTGCAGGGGCTCCAGCTTCGGGGCAGGCTGTGGGGACAGAGGGGGTGGTCACGGCTGCCCCAGCTCTGGCTCGCCCGCCACACACTCCCTGCCACCCCGTTAGCTTACCTGGCCACCATTGGAGCCCACAGGGCTGCCCTCCACCTGGGCTGACAGGGAGGCACACGCCCGCTTGTTGGGAGACAGGTTGAGTGGGACATCATCTGGCCGTTTCAAGGCCACCAGCCTGGCCTGTGGAGCGGGCCATGTGACCATAGGCCCATCTGGCCAAGGCTTCCTTCCTTCCCCTCTCACACTGGACCGCACCTTCCCATGAGGGCAAGAGGCCAGGGCTGGCCCGGGCTCACAGAGGGAGCTAACTTAGTCACTGGCAGCAACTTCCTGGGCTCACCTCCAGGACCCCCTGTTTGCTTCCCCAGGCAGAAGGGCCAAGGCAGGTCTCAGAGCCCTGAGGGCCACACTCACCCTGGGCTTGTGGGCAGCTGCAGCTTTTGGGTGCCTCTGTGGGTTGTCTGCCTCATGTACCAAGGTCCCACCGGAGGCCACCAGCTCCTCAGAGATCATCTGTACCTGGGTAGGGCCAAGCTGTCAGGGTCAGGAAGCCAAACACAGTCCTGGGTGTCCCCAGTCCCTCCCCAGACGCCTGGTCAGAGGGAGCCTGTGCTTCCCAAGTTGAGGCAGGGTCTCTTCGGCCAATAGGGCTGCCTTCCCTGACCCACCCCACTCCCACAGCCCCTCAGCCCCCTCATGATAAGGGACCTCCAGGGTAGCTTAAGGCCATGAGAGCTAGCAAGGGGCAAGAGAACTGACTCCCAATCCAATGGGACAAAGACATACCCTCCACTGGGTGAACTCGCTGAGGGACTCAGGCCCGTAGCGGACATCCCTGACGGCAGACTTCACAAAGTCCGCCTGGGCCTTCTCATCCTTCTCTTCAGGGCCCACTGCAGCCATGAACTTCTCCCAGTGAGCTGTGACCTGGCGCAAGAGGGACCAGATCCAGGCCCAGCCCACCCCAGCTCTCCTGGACCCCTACCGGCAATCTCATGGCTGCAGGTATCTCAATCTCACGGGCTGCTGGAAGGCTCCCCGAACCATAGCCTCTCATCTGCAGGTTGCATGAACCTCAGCACCACATACATGTCAGAAACATCCCAGGAAAAGCTACTTGGAAGTGTCTCAGCCTCCCCTGCTGGGCCCTGCAAGGCAGGACCACAGCCAGGCTTAGAGCACGTCAGGCTAGGCACTGTCAGGGCAAAGAGCCCCTGTCAGCCACCCTCCCTCAATATCCTCCAAATGTCCGATGCTGTCACTCCCTCCGCAACACCCTCTATGGCTCCCAAGTACTCCACAATGAACTGCCTGTCTCCTTACCCTGTTAGTCAGTTCCCGGTTCAGGTTCTCCACCTGAGAGCAAGCCAAGGATGCATCTTTGCCATTGACCTTACGAAGCTTGGGCAGGAGAAAGGAGACCTTCAGGTTGTCATTGACCTGGGGGAGTGAAGGAGCAGTGGCTCAGGGGCTGAAGAGCCTGAGCCCAAGGGTCCTGGCCTCTGGCTCGGGGCTGGTGGGGGCCCCTACTTACTGTCAGGAAGGGGTTGCCCTCCAGGCTGAGCTCCTCGAGCTGCAGGAACTGGCACAAGGCGGTGACATCCCTCAGCTGGTTGTTACCACAGCGGAGGATGCGCAGGTGGGACAGGCCCAGGTTGTCAGGCAGCGTCTCTAGCTGGTTGTTGGAGAGGTCCAGCTCCTGCAGCTGCGTCAGGCGGCACATGAGCTTGGGGTCCAAGTGCTCTGAGATCAGCTTCAGCCCGGACAGGCTGGGCAGGGGCAGACAGGAAGGGCTCAGGGGTTGGCAGGCCACCCAGCCCACACCAACCTCGGCCTCAGGAAGCTCTTCCACCTGAATGGCCTGTGCATGTGCAGCCTCCCCTACCCGCTTTGAATAAAATCTTGTAGCTACTTTAGAACTAGGGGCCACATGGCCCCATCCGGGATGCACTTCCTGATCCTCTGGGGGCTCCTCTGGCTTCCCTGGCCCTGGCCCTCTATGATCTCTCTCTGCAAGACTATGTCCCCAGCTGCCAAGAGCCCACCCAGCAAGCGGGTAGGACAGTGATCCTGCGCATCTCGTAACAAGAAAACGTTAGGTGCGACTCTGCCAAACGGGTACAACCAGGATGGGAAGAAAGTGGGGAAGCGTCCCAGCTTTGCTTCCCCATCGCCCGGCGACCCAGGCCGCGGTGGGGTCCCAGCTCCGTGGACACAGCCTCACCCCCGGCCCGGCTCTTACTCCAGGATCCGGATCTTCCCCAGCCGGTCGCTCTTGGGTCGCCCGCGCTGCATCAGCAGCCGCGCCGAGAGGGGGCCCATGGCGAGGAGGCGCGGCCCACGCTGGCTCGGTCGGCGGCGCTGGCGTCTGGCAGAGCCCGCGTCTCCCCGAGTCCGCTGCTGGCGTCTGCGAGTGGCCGAGTACCGGAGGTGATGCCGCGCAAGCCCGCGAGTGACGGCGACCGGAAGGAAGCGGAGCCAAGACTTCGTGCCCCGCCTGCGGACTACAACTCCCAGCGGCCCCCGCGGCCCCGCGCCTGCGCCCTGGCCGCCCAGACAGCGCAATGGCGGCAGCGGCGGCTGCCGAGGTGCCAGAAATCTTTCGGCGGTGCGGTTGCAAGGGCATCCGGACCTGCCTGATCTGCGAGCGGCAGCGCGGTGGTGACCCGCCCTGGCAGGTGCCCCCGGGGGTAAGGACTGGGAGAGGGACCGCGCCCACAAACTCCGTTCTTCATACGGGGAAACTGAGGCCCAGCTTGGTCATGAGACAGGCTGGCTTCAAAGCCTGTCAGGGGCTCTGGCGGTAAGGGCGTTGCGGGCTGAGTCTTGGGAGTGAGGAAGGGGCTGGCAGGTGGGTGGGTCTGACCGCAGCTCGCCTGTGGGACTTTGGGGGAATCTGTCAGCAAACCTCGACTTAGCCCTTCGGGTCAGGTGCTGGCAGGGTCAGTGGCACGAGGGGTAAACGACGTGGAAAGGGCGGAGGGTACTGAATACTAGACCACGGTGCCTAAGGGCCATAGACAAAAGTGGGCACGGGGGCAATTAATTCCAGTTAACTAATGAAAAAAGAGCGTTTGGACTGACCTGGAAGTATCGTGGTCGGTTGCAGGGGCGTATCCGCCGGGCAACTGCGTGGGTAGAGGCCTGGGGTAGGAAGGTGGAGCGATGCTTCACGTGAGGCAGATGAGGCTGGAGACGTTGAGGGGCTCTGATCACAGAGGGTCCCCCTGTGTCAGCTGAGCAGGCTGGACTTGTCCTGAAAGCCATGGAGAGCTCCTGAAGGGGTTTAAAGGAGTGACTAGGTCAAATGTGAATTTTAGAAAGATTCTGGGAGAGGAGTGGGACAGATATGACCGCGTAGAAGCTGGGAAGCCAACAAGGAAACTGCCCAGTGTATGTGGTAAAAGTACCCAAGGTCCCGTGGAAAACAGATGGCATGCCTCAGAAATTAAACATAAAATTACTTACAATTCCACAATCCCACTTCTGGGTATATATCCAAGAGAACTGAAAGCAAGGTCATGAAGAAATATTTTTATCTCAGGTTCATAGCAACATTATTCACTTTAGCTAAAATATGGAAGCAACCCAGTACCCTTGACAGGGGAATGGATAAACAAAATGTGACACATTCACACAGTGGATTATTCAGCCTTAATAAGGAAGGAAATTCTGACACATGCTACAACATGGATGAACCTCGAGGACATTATGCTAAGAGAAAGAAGCCAGTCACAAAAGACAAATACTGTATGATTCCTGTTATATGGGTACCTAGAGTAGTCGCATAGAGACAGAAAGAAGTGTTGTTGCTGGGGGATGGGGATGGGGAGAGGGGAATTATTGTTTAATGGGGACAGAGTTTCAGTTTTACAGGATGAAAAAGTTCTGGAGGAGGACAGTGGGGACGGCTGCACAACAATGTGAATGAGCTGATAAACTTTTTTTTTTCTTTAAATTGCACAATGTCTGAACTGTACCAGTAGCCATGGGTGTGAAGACACAGGACACTGTGTAGGGGACACCATCCCAGCCTGATGGCCGTGGGACAAGGAGAGTGAGATGTCCAGGATGCCTCCCCAGTTTTAACATGCCCCATGTGAGGGGCCCAGGAGACGGAGGAGATGGTCTGAAGCTCAGGAAGCGTCTGAGCTGGAGTCGGAGGCTGGAGGTGAAGCTTTAGGATGGAGTGAAATCCACAGAGAAAATCAGAGGGCCCACAGCTGGGCATGTGAGAGGAAGAGGAGCAGGGCCACAGAAGCCAGGCCTGAGTTCTGGAAGCCTCTGAGGTCCTCGCTGGGTGGCTCTGGCCAGAACCTGCAACATCTGCGTCTCTAGCTCACACATAGGGATGGTTATGCTACACTCCTCCTAGAGTTGTCCTGGGGGTGAAACTATTAATAGATAATCTGGCCAGGCGTGGTGGCTCATGCCTGTAATTCTAGCACTCTGGGAGGCTGAGGTGGGAGGATCGCTCAAGGTCAGGAGTTTTGACACCAGCCTAAGCAAGAGCGAGACCCCATCTCTACTAAAAATAGAAAGAAATTAGGAAATTAAAAATACATAGAAAAAATTAGCCGGGCATGGTGGCACATGCCTATAGTCCTAGCTACTTGGCAGGCTGAGGCAGAAGGACTGCTTGAGTCCAGGAGTTTGAGGTTGCTGTGAGCTAGGATGACGCCACAGCACTCTAGCCCAGGCAACACAGTAAGACTCTGTCGCAAAAAAAAAAAAAAAAACCAGCAAAAAAAAAAAAAGCTTAATGCTGTGGACGTGAATATTAGCTATTTCATTAACTAACTCTTTTTAATGCAGAGAGCCAGGAGAGGAGAGTATAGCTGAAACCAAAGGAGAGATTTAAGCAGCAGTCATTGGCAGTGTGACTGGGGGTCTGCCTGGAGAACAGAGTGAGGGAGAGAGGCTCAGCTCGGTGGGGAGAGCAGGGCGAGGCCCAGGGAAGGGGACTGCCCTCTTGGGCAGCACTCAGACTTGTGATAGGCCCGGGCCAGCGCGACCTAAAGAGGCTGGGGACACAGATATGGAGCAGGGGAGGGTGGCTGGGTGCTCCTGGAAGCAGCTGTTGAGACAGTGTGAGGAGTGCAGGGGTGCGAGTGTACACGCGTGTGATGTGTATGAACAGGAAGAGGAGGAGGGCAGGGGCACGGACAGACGCCACCCCCTGGCCTCCCAACATGTGCCACTCACCCCGTGGACAGCCTGGAGGCTCCAGCTCTAGGATGAGCAGTTTTCTCAACCCCTGGCCTGGCTGGATGCTTTCACACAGGTCTGCTCCTTCAGTCCTCCTGAGGCTGGGGAGGACAGAAGATGTCCCGCAGAAACAAGGAACAGTGCAGGTGTGCAGGCTGCTCCCTGGCTGTGCAGGCTCGGGCCGGCTCCTTAACTTCGCTGAGCCACCTTTGTAAAATGGAGAATGAAAATAGGATTGTGCAGAGGCTCTTCTTTTACAGAGGCGGAGCATGAGAAGGGAGCCCGAGTTGTTCACTCAAGAGGGCTGCAGGCCTTCCTTGGGGCAGCCTGGGGCAGGGGTTCTGCCTTCCGAGGTGGCTTCCGGGGAGGGCTAAGCCGTCAGAAACTCAACTCGGAGGCAGCCAGGTGGGCAGGGGCTGTGCTCACAGGGGGCCTCTGGAAGACACACGAGTGCCGGGTGAAGGAGGTTTGCCATGGCTCTAGGACCCGTGCTTCTTTTGCAGAAAACACACCGTTTCATTTACTGCTCGGACACTGGCTGGGCTGTGGGAGCCGAGGAGTCAGACTTTGAGGGCTGGGCCTTCCCCTTCCCAGGAGTGATGCTGATAGAGGACTTCGTGACCCGGGAGGAAGAAGCCGAGATGGTGCATCTCATGGACCTGGAGCCCTGGAAGCTCTCACAGTCTGGACGGAGGAAGCAGGTAAGCCAGGCCCTAGCTGGGAGGCCGGGGGAAAGGCCAGGCCAGACTGAAGGGACAGCCCCACTGCTCAGAGTCCTCTGTAGCCACACCTCACGCACCTCCCTTGCAGGGAGGACAAGCCTCCCCTGACCTTGGGGCTGTGGGTAGCCAGGGTCACTGCAGAGTGTGTTTTAGTTCCAGAACATTTTCATGTGCAAAAAGAAACCCCACACCCGTTAGCAGTCAATCCCCATTGGCCCCGCTCCTGGCAGCCACCAAGCTGCTTACTGTCTCCTCAGGGTCTGCCTCCTCCTGCTGGAATGTCCCATCCTTGAAGTCAGGGCTTCCCTTTGCCTTGGTCACTACGATTGAATTCTTCAGACCTGATCTGTGATGAACGTTTCTGTGAGCTCAGACACTTCTTCACCTCCCTTTGTCTTCACCCTCCAGGACTACGGCCCCAAAGTCAACTTTCGGAAACAGAAGCTGAAGACCGCGGGCTTCCGAGGCCTCCCCAGCTTTAGCCGTGAGGTGGTGCGGAGGATGGGCCTCTACCCCGGGCTGGAGGGCTTCCGGCCAGTTGAGCAGTGTAACCTGGACTACTGCCCCGAGCGGGGCTCTGCCATCGACTCCCACTTGGATGACGCCTGGCTGTGGGGGGAGCGGCTAGTGAGCCTCAACCTCCTGTCCCCAACCGTGCTGTCCATGTGCCGCGAGGCGCCCGGCAGCCTCCTGCTCTGCTCAGCCCCGTTGGCTGCCCCAGAGGCCTTGGTGGACAGCGTGATAGCCCCCAGCAGGTCCGTGCTGTGCCAGGAGGTGGAGGTGGCTATCCCCTTACCCCGCCGCTCCCTGCTGGTGCTCACGGGGGCCGCACGGCACCAGTGGAAGCATGCCATCCACCGCAGACACATCAAGGCCCGCCGCGTCTGTGCCACCTTCAGGGAGCTGTCCGCCGAGTTCTGTCCCGGAGGGAGGCAGCAAGAACTGGGCCACGAACTCCTGCAAATCGCTCTCTCCTTCCAAGGAAGGCCCGTGTGAGTTCCACTTGGGGACAGGAGCTGGCGCTGGGCCTGGCCGGAGTCGCTGGCCCCAGAGTTGGCCATTCTTGGGATTGAAGTGGGGAGCCCAGTGCAGGGCTTTTTTCCCAGCTCATTAGGTTTTAGGAGAAGACATCTGACCCCCGAAGCCACAGGCAGTGTGAGCCCTGCCCAGGCGCTGGTTCTGGCAGGAGTACACCTCAGTCAGTCCCCTTAGACCTGCGCTGTGGCCACTCTGCTTCTGTTATTTAAAATTGGACACAGTTTGGGGAGAGTGGGATACTTTGAGCTTTAAAAAGGTTGAGAACATTTAAAACCATTTTCTTCTTTATCCGTCTCTCTGAGGCTTCCTGATGTCCCACTGTCCAGTCCCTTCGTTTGGGGAGCGTGTTGGATTGGAGAACAGAATTGGTAGAGGCTTTGAGGTTCAGACTTCACAGTTGGGGACAGCTTTGAGCCAGGCTCAGCCTGGGCCATGCTTGACCCTTGTGGTAGGGGCTGCGACGAGGGCAGGGAAGTCTGAGAGAGCCTGGCCCCCACTTCCCATAATGCTGTAGGGGAAGCAGGGAAAAGGCTCCTACTTCCCAGGACACCACAAGGTTGTTCACTGTGTGGCTCTGATGCAGTGTGGGGTGCTTACCTGGATGGACAGCTGCCCAGGTACAACAGCGGCCAGGTGAGGAGCAGGCCAAGGAGGCCGAGGAGGGGCCCGTGAGCCTGGACCCCATGGCTGTGTCTCCTGTGCTTATGAGACAAACACACTCAGCTCACTGCCATGTGCCAGCAGCCGAATTCAGGGGAGCAAGGCCTCGTCACGTGGTCAGCACCGTTCTGCAAAGTCAGTCCAGAACCTTCCCCAGAGCTGTCCGGCAGGGGAGCTGCTGGCTGCCCAGCTACTGCGCCCCTGGTGAGGTCTAAAGAACCCTGTGAAGACCCAGTGGAGAGGCTGCCCAGTTGCAGGGCCTGGTGGGTGGGGCAGGCACCTAGACCACCTGGCTGCCGCTCCCATCAGCTCACGGGGAGCATGAGAGGGGAGCACGTCCTCTTCCCAGTGTCAGGACCCCAGATGCAAGCAGATGCCAGCTGGGCCTGGTGGTCTGCTCTAGAGGGGTTTGTGCGAGGTCTCTGCCCCTCACAGCGGGCACCCCCAGGCAGAGCCTGCAAGATGCTCTGCGGGAAACGCACACTCGGGGAACGCTGCACACGGAGACCTCGCCAGGAGAGGCCCAGTGAGGCTTGGGGAGATACTGAGCAAAGATAGCTGTTCTCCCCAGCTATCTTTTGATAGCGTCCTCAGATATACTTTAGGAAACATTTGTTACATGATCGGTCGGTGACCCCCCCAAGTTGAGTCTGTCCTGGAAACTGTGACATGAAGACCACTAGGCCCCACGTGCCTGCTGTCTCCACAGCCACGCCTCGCCTGGCTGGATCGGGCAGGAGGGCGCCAGACCAGGACGCTTCCGCCACAGCCCGGCTCCTGGCACGCTGCCCTGCACACTTCTGAAGGGCTGGGCCCTCCTGCCACCGCCTGCGGGTACCACCTGCTTACCTCATGTTGGCCAGGTGGCCTCACACATCCTCCAGCACTTTCCTTAGGCAGCAGACCTGTGTTGTGCAGACTAGGCTGTCTGCTCTGATGTTCCTGCAGTCTCAACAAGGGGCAAGCAGGAGTCCCCTGTGGGGGACTCACTAATACAGAAGTGTCCACTCTGAGGGCAGCTTCCTGTGGCGTCCTGCTCCTGAGTAAGCCGAGGGGTAGCTCAGCTGACATCAGCCTGCCCTTCGCAGAGATTTATTCAGAGTGGTGGGTGGTGAGGTCTGGGCTGGTCCTAACTCGGGAGCATTCTCTGGGGCTACTCCTGCCTAGACTGGCGTTTAACCTGCCTGTCCCATGTCCCACAGCAACCCCCAGGCGGCCAGCAGGTGGCCTAGAAAGAGGGCTTCGCGAGGAGCCTCTGGGCTCAGTCCTGTCCCAGCCCTGCCCTGGCCGGCCCCACTCAGGACTCCACCTGTTAACTTTCCAGAGCCATCCGATTCAAGACAAAAGCCTCCTCTCGATGAGTCTGCAATGTGAAGTGGATCCCAGCACGGCAGGCTCCTTGGGCTCACTGCAGGAGTGGCCCACGGAGCCAACAGCACCGTGTGCCCTGCCCTTGACAGGGGCGGGGCAGCGTCTTCTCTAAGGAAGCTGCACCCCCACTTTAAGTGCTGTCTGGCTCAAGGCTGGGTGGGCCTCTGGACTGGCAGGGCACAGGTGCTGCCAGTTGCTTTGCACACCCGATTCCCAGGAGCCTCTAGGTTGAAGTGCCAGAAAATTAAAAATATGGGGCAGAAATTCTTTCCTGGAAGGGGGCCTCCACCTCAGTGGGTGACTGTTAGGAAACACAGCACGTGTGGGTGCTTCCTCATCAGCGCCGCCAGCCCGTGGGAGGGCCCTGCATGCGCCTGCACAGCCTGGGCCCGGGCCCCAGAGCCACAGGGACCTGGGGATGGAGAACGTCCCACGCAACCAGAACATCAGGGGTTTTTCTGGACGGCTTAGGAGGACGTTCCTACCAACCATTTAGATTGGGCTCTGCTGGCGCTCCGCCACCCACGTGGGCTGCCTCTTCCTCTGTTTCCGGAAAGAGAGGGCCCTGCCTGGGAAGTGGCAGGCAGAGGCACTCACTGTCGGGGACAGCGTGTCTGGTGTTAGCACCCTGACTCTCCATTCCAGAGATGTCCACGCCCCTCACCAGGGCAGCCTGTTAGGACACCAGCCAGTGACCAGCCACAGGAGGCGGCAGGTGGGGTCCAGGAGAAGGGCCCTCGTGCCAGGGTGGGGGTCACCCATGCAGCAGACACAGGGGAAGGACCAAGGCTGCACACGTCCCCCTGCCTGCAGCATCCTGCCAGGAACAGAAAGCGCCTTCAACAGCTTTACTGGTTTATTCAGTTCAATCCAGGGCAACTGTTTTAAGAACCCACACACGGGACAGGAGGTATGTTGGCCATACATGGTCTGCGTAATGTCATGCATAAATAATCAGCACAGGACAGTAACGGCTGCAGGTGAACTCTGACCCACTCAGGCTTATGTGGTTTTGTCCTCAACAGACCTTCCTAGAAGACGCTAAAACACATTCTGCCTTCTAAGTTTCTAAAATAGAAACACTTGCTTTTCGAGACTGTGTCAGGTGCTAAATGAGAGTGTTCCACATTGGAAGGGCCTCAGCGTGTCTGGAGCACCAGGAGGGCTGGAAACTAGGGCAAGCCCACGATGGCTCCAGGGCGGCCCGAGGCACCTCTCACCACGGCAGAGGCTACGGTTCTCAGAACACTCTTCAAAATCAGGCTAAATCTCCAAAAACCAAATTTCTAACCTGCAAGTGGCTTCTGCAGCTCCCCGTCCATCTCCCCGCAAGCTCTGGGGTGACCCTGAGGTTTCCCCTCCTGACAAGCATGGCCCGTGCCCCCGGTCAGGTCTGCCCCACACAAACCGTCTGCCTCACGCCGCAGAACTGGACAGGCTGGAGCCGGGAGAGCACTCTCGGGATGAAACCAGAGAACAAGAAACTACAAGGCCACCATCCTCCTGATAAGAGCACTAAAGACATACACGTGGCATTGTCTCTACCCACATGGCACCATCACTGGGCCCCTGGTGTGTGGGGACCAGGTGTAACACTGGTCCCGGCTGGCCTTGGAGGTGTCCCTTCCACAGACTGAGTGTGGCACTCTGTGGGCTGGGGCACCAGATGGCCCGGGAAGGGGAGCAGCAGGAGGGGGCCGTGCCGGGACCTCTCAAAAGGCTCAGGCCAGAGTAAGGGCCTGCTGCCCCAAACCCTGGAGAGCCACCACTCATGAGCCAGCCCGTCTTGTCCCTGCCAGGACACAAGGCAGCCGTCTTGGAGTGACACCGACATTCTTTAGCGAAGCAAACATATCAAACCAGAAGAGCCTCTCGGCTCCAGGGAAGTACAGACATGCGCTAGAAGGCGAGTGAGTCACAGACAGACGTCTGCAGGGGCCACAGAGGTCATACCCTTTGGAAGGTGTAGGGCTCTTGTCTGGCCCCACAGGGCACGATGTCCACGCTCCCCATAGATGCCACGACATACAGTGGGCCGTCTGGGCACAGCTCCCTGAGGCCCCCAGCACCTCTGAGCTGTGTATTAAGGTCTCTGTTCTCAACGGTATGTCACATCCCAGAGACCTCTGGGCCATCCAGAATCCCACAGCCCGGATAGCCCAGACCCCGCAGAGATATTAAACTGGTACAAGAAATGTAATCAGAGCATGACCAAGCCCAATGACTATGAGAACAAAAGACAAAGTGTCCCTCTCCAGGTGACTGCTGGGGAGTGGGGTCAACACGGTTTCTAACGGCAGCTCAGGTGCCACATGCTCCCACGTCAGCTGCTGCTGTGGCGTGTGCATGTGTCCCAAGAACACAGGGGCAGGTCTAGTAGGTGCCTTTAGTGAAATGCCAGACCCGACACCACACAGCTGGGTCAGCAAGTGCACGGGGGACCCTGTGCTGGCTGAGAGGCCTGGAGGGCCCAGCAGGGAGCACGTGTGGGGTCTCACCCCGCTGCAGTTGCTTGGTGTCCTAACAAGGAGGGCCTGCATTTGGCCCCTGGACCCACTACCCACGGGCTAGGCCAGGCCAAGCCAATGGCCTGGTCTAAATAGGAAGCCCCCCAGGGTGTCCCCTCCTGCTACCTGGGGCCAGGGGCAGCAGCAACCTGGGCAGGCTTCTGGACTGTGGGTCCTTTCCCCAACCTGGTGGCTTTGCTGAGTCCATGTGGTCTGGCCTCCAGGCTGGCTGGGAAAAGAGAACCTGAGCCTACTGCGCCTCAGGTACCCCTCGATTAATTTGTCCTTCTCAGTGGGCACCTCACACTGATGCCCACAGACATGCCTTCCTGACCCTGGCCAGGCCTCCCACTCTTGGAATCTCCCCAGGGCCTGGCAACTCTGACATTAGCTGCAGCACCCACCCCACCTCTGCGCTGATGTGTGCCCCAGGCTTCCGCCTCTCCCCTCCCCCCAAAGCCAGGCCACCCAACTCCCTCCAGGGCTAGAGGGAGGAAACACCAAGCTGTCCTCCTGCATCCAGCTGATAGCCACAGTCCCCGCCTAATCGCCACTAGACATGCTCCCCTCAGGTCTCCTGGGGCAACTCTCTGAACTCACGCCCCTGCCAAGATGCTCCCTTCCCCAGCCAGATGCATGTTCCAGGTCTCAGAGAGTCCCTTGGCCACTGAGTACTGCTCATAGCCCTTCAGGAGACGGGCCCTGTGGACGGATCCCCGGAGCCCCTTTTGCTTGCCCCGACCCAGGAAATCCCAGGGCCAAGGAATCAGCCTTTCTTTGCCCCCTAAGCTCTCAGCAACACAGTGTCTTGGTTAATTACCAGATGTTCCATCTTCTCAGGGAAGATCATCCAGGTTGTTACATTAGGACAAGAGTAAAACTTTGGTCTTGAACCATCTGGCAGTGTCTAAGCAGCCTGGTGAGCAGTTCGGCATTGTTGAGTCTCCCCAAACGCAAGCGGTTTTCGTCTGGCCCCTGGGCACCGGCCCAGCCGCTCACACGACCTGCAGGCTGCGCTCGTGCCCGTCCAGCTGCACCTTGAGCTTGTGCAGCTCCTCGATCTCGCGGTTGTGGCGCTCCGTCTTGTGGCGCACCAGCGAGCGGTAGAAGTGGATGGTGAAGACCACGAAGATGAGGCCCACAGGCACCATGATGATGGTGGACACCAGGGCGGCCTGCCAGCCCGTGTGGCTGCCGGGGCCGGGCTGGCGCCTGGCGTCCACGGGGAGGAACTTGATCCAGCAGAGCAGCACCACCTCGGCCAGGAAGAGCAGGATGCCCAGCACGGTGGAGAAGCCCCAGGCGAGCTCGATGTAGGGGTGCATGCGCTCGTGCGGCGACTCGCTGATGGAGTTGAGGTTGTGGATGTTGCTCACGGCCTCCACGTTGGGCAGGATGCACGTGCTGATGAGCAGGGCGAACAGGTGCACGGCCACCAGCACCGTGGTGCAGGCGCTGAAGGCGATGAGCAGCGGCCGCGGGTACTGGTACTGCGTCTCCAGCTGCACCTCCACCATGGCCACCTGCGAGGAGGAGCGGGGCTGGGTGGGGAGGGCAGGACAGGGTGCACCCCCACCATGGCCACCTGCCAGGCAGTATGGAGGGCTGCAGGCACCCACGGACTCACCTACCTGGGGACTCACCAAGTTCTGGGCCCCTGAAGATCAGAGGATCTCTCCTCGATAGTTAAATATTTCAAACTTCCCTTTTTCTGTCTAGCTAAAGATGATCACACTAAGGGAAAATCTAAAAAGTACAGAACAGAGTAGAGACACACAGGTGATCACCTCCAGGTGCCCTCCCGGACCCAGAAGCAAGGATGCCTCTGTGGTGCCCAGCTAGCACCCAGGTCACAGGTCCACTGCCCTGGGCACGGTCTGCACAGCTTTGCTGATGTCAGAGCCAGGCCAAAGCTGGCTTAGCTGCAAAAAACGGCTGTTTTTCAAAAAATAAAAACTGACCTTTCAAAAGGTAAAAAGGGAGACTCCTGATGGTCCCCGGACTTGGAGCTGCGCACCTGGACGGCCTCGTACAGACCACACAGGGCAGCTTGCAGCCGAGACCAGAAGCTGGGGGAAAGCTGCATGTCTGAAGGCCAGGAAAGGCGGGAGAGGCGAGGGGAGCAGCTGCGGGAAGGAGCCTGGGCTGGGCCAAGGGAGAGAAATCGGCACTGCAGGCAGGGGATACCAGTGGTGAGCGAGGCCTGAAACGGATGCGCCAAGCACCACGGTCTCCACGTGTCATCTGGAAACCTGCAGCAGCTAAGTGCCCTCCTCGAGGGGGTGGGGTCGCAGGGCTGCTAGGGTTTGCTATAAGCATTTTTAAAACTATATTCACGTATTACACTTTGATGAAATAAAAATTATTTTTAAATGAAAGGAAGAAAAAGCCCCAAAGAGGGAGCCGGAAGCCCCAGCTTATTTCTGTGGCAGGCGGTGTCTACTGCCACTGCTGCCTGCTCACCATGCACCCCAAGGGGTTTTCACAGCACGCCCTTCCCACACTTCCCCTGCAGTCAGACCAAGGCCACACCCAGTGGCGCTCTCCTGGGCCCCCCACCTGCCCCCAGCACTGTGGATCCCCCTCCTCCCCCCAGGAGGGTTTAGTCCAGGCCCAACAAGGACTGCAGGGGAACCAAAGACCTCCCCAGCAGCCAAAGAAGCCAGACTAGTCAAAGAATTAGGCAGGGAGGCAAAAAGAAAAAGACTGAGGAAGGTTTTCCACCCACAGTGCTTGCCTCCTAGATCAGCCATCCCTGTTTTTTAATATATATAAGAAGATTTCATAACTTTTAGCAATTACTGCCTCTTGGGGAACCTTATCCCTTCACCTCACCTTCAATGATGATGGAATACTTGGTAGGTAGAAGAAGATACGGCAGTCTTAGTGGACCAGAGCTGAATAGTAACTCAATAGTGCTATGGCTGCAGCCATTGTCAAAAATATCTAAAAGACAGTAGTCACAATACAACACTGAGGGGTAGTCTCTTCCCAGTGCCCCTGTGGCTCTAGGTGGGCTCTTATTACCACAAACGATATGGCCCAACAAAAGGATATCACAAACTACAGAGGGTTCCAAGAAGGAACTAAATAGATTAAAAGGTAGGAGATAAGGTCTACAAAGAGTGGTTGTGTTCCACCTCAAGAGAAAAGGCCCAAGGGCCATTTTCACTGTGTTTATGCAGAGATTTTATGAGGGGCCTGGGATCACTGGTTCTCTGTGTTAGGGCAAGGGTAAACATGAGGAAATAAGCTAATGGTTAGGCCTAAGTGCTTGCTGCTGGACAAAGGAACAGCTTTGCAATTCTAATTAGGGAATACATAATATAAACAAGGGACCCCACCTAGCAAAGTGCCTGTTTTCACTGTTCTGTGTCCCTGCCCCATTCAGCTAGGATTTCTGATGATCTGCATCTGCCACTTATTTTCCCTAAGCTGCCCCCAGTCTGAAGAACCATCTGATTGAATGGTGGTAGATTAATTGAATCAATCGAGGGGGCGTACGCTGGCTTCCCAGTGCAGCCCTCATATCCGCAGCTTCTGAATCTGGAGATGCAACCAACCATGCAGCAAAAATATTGTGGGAGGGGAACCACAATAACAAATAATACAAATAAGAAATCAATACGGTATAACCATTCACATGGCATTTACACTGTATGAGGTGTTCTAAGTAATCTAGAGATGACTTAGAGTATACAGGAGGATGTGCATAGGCTATATGCAAACACCACACCAGGGACTCAAGCATCCGTGGATTTTGGTACCCCCGGGGGTCCTGGAATCCAGCCCTCCAGGATACCAAGGTATGACTGCATACTCTGTCATGGCCAATACAGGTCAGGCTGGGGCAATCTGGCTGAGAGAGAACTTCTAGAAGAGAGAGCAAAGGCACTTCTGGAATGTGCCTCCAAACTGCATAAGGAAGCACTTGCTGGTAGAGAGGAGATACTCATCAATGAGCAGGAAATGACTGATTACAGGAGAATCGGACTGCCCCCAGGCCAGGTCAAGCTGGGTGACCCGGATTCCCACCCCTACTATTCTCATTCTAACACCACTGCATACCCCCGAGGGCAGTCATTAAGTCTCAAACTCTTCCTCCAGAATTCACAAGTCCAGTTTTATAGCTTTATTCACAGGCCTTCTTTTCAAATTTTATTTAGTGATCTTGAAGCCTCAGTCTTGGGGGAGCATCTTGTTGGCTGAAAAACTGTAAAGCTGTCTAAGTTTGCAAAGCCAAATATTTGGAAGGCCAAGGTCTAAAAAAGACAGCTGCAGCCAGGAAATGATTTCCAAAACCCAGGCCCCACACAAAAGGAAACCACTTGTGTTAAGTACTTAAGAGTTAATTTTTCAAAGGTGTTTGGGGGAAGCACAGGCCAGAAAAATTTAATGCAATATTTTAATTCTTCTGTCCTATAAAAAACAAGCTTCAATGGTGACATCTAAACTTCTCACACATGTTCCTTAAAATTAAGCTTGAGAAAATATTCTGTCTTTTTAATGAGATGAAAACCATGGAAGTCACTCTGAGCCAAAGTTGTGCACCATATAATTATATGCTTCGTCAATATGTTAAAAAAAATAAAACACAGGACCTAAATAAGCCTTTGCTTTAACCTACAGTCTTAAACACAAAACTAGGTGACCTCTGTCCCGCCTTGTACAAAGCCTCACCCTCTCTATGAAACGTCCCATTTGTCCAAGAGTGGCCCGTACGGATGACTGAGCAGGCCCTCATGGCCACAGTGGCTCACTGTCAGTTTATTATTTGAAATTAACCTACCAGTTTAACAACTGAGGCTCTGGGCTATAGAAAAAGAATTGTTTTTACATAAAGAAATAAATGGCTTCCAGCCCAGTTAGACCTCTGAGCACACTGTTGGGTCTCACTCCCAGTACTCGACCTCTGGAACCATTCCCCCAAGGGACGTGGGTTTGGAGTCAACAGGAGATAGGCTTTGCCTCCAGACTGATTTTTGTCCTAGGGGATGATGCTTGGGGAATGACTCAGGGAAACTGGCAGCCGGGAGCCAGGCCAGAGGTTCTGCTTCGTCACCCCAGAGGCCACATTCAGGGAACAAGTCTGCATCCCCAATTGGGCTAAACTGAGCAAACCCCAATCAATCTGTGAGTCCCTGCTCAAATCTCTCAGATTTCCAAACTTTTGGGTGGTGCCCGAGATGGGACAGACGTGGGTATCTTTCCCCAGGAAACCCTGTACACTGAAACACTGAAGCTATTTTAATTACCCTGCACTAACCTCCTTGCTAAGCAAATACTTTCCGGGCACAGAAAGAGGGGCTGAGGACTTAGGGCCTTGGAATCCCACCCTCCATCCTCCCCGCACAGCCTCCCTCCACCGCCCCCCCGCCCCAAAGAACAGCCCTTTTGGAGGAGCTGGTACATGGGCAAACACTTCCCAATGGTCCATCCTGGCTGCCAGCGGCCTGGAGGGAGCACTCTGCCCCCTAATTTGACCAGCCGAGCTCCCCAAATGGGCTGCACTCACCATGGCAAAGCCCGAAAGGAGGGCTGAGGTCCTGCTGGAGGCCTTCAGCTTGGCCCTGCTCAGGTACAGCTTCCTCCAGGACAGGGCCTGTACCGAGTGGTGATTGGAGGTGACCAGTTCCAGGTAGCTGCGGCGGACCCAGTCGCGGTAATCCATGCCCTTGTGGCCAGGCTCAGAGCAGGCAGGAGTGGAGGGGTCCACAGGCACATTGAGCTCAGCATTCATGGTGGGAGCCAGGCTGGGGAAGGGAGAGAGACATACTCAGGCCGCTAAGAGGGTTTCTATGGCCTTGAAAAGCCAGACTCAGGCTGGGCGTGGTGGCTCATGCCTGTAATCCTAGCACTCAGGGAGGCCGAGGCAGGAGGATTGCTTGAGGTCAGGCGTTCAAGACCAGCCTCAGCAAGACCCCGTCTCTACTAAAAATAGAAAGAAAGTAGCCAGGTAACTAAAATAGAAAAAATTAGCTGGTCGTGGTGGTGCACCCCTGTAGTCTGAGCTACTCAGGAGGCTGAGGCAGGAGGATTGCTTAAGCCCAGGAGTTTGAGGTTGCGGTGAACTAGGCTGACGCCACGGCACTCTAGCCCAGGGCAAAGAGCAAGACTCTGTCTCAAAAAAAAAAAAAAAAAAAGAAAAAGAAAAGCCAGACTCCAAGCCCATTTAATATTTCCCGGGCCCTGCCGTACGACCTCACGTCAGAGCCATGGGGGTCCAAAGGGAGTGTGGGTGTGGGGCCCTAGTCTCCAAGGCAGTCCCCAAACCAAACACGAGGACCACCTGCAGGAAAGGAAGGTCAGGCTTGCATTCCCAGGCACTGCTGCAGCGAGGTCATCTGTCCACAAAGCCGGAACCCAGCCTCCTGATGGCCAGAAGGCCCCAATCAGGCGTGGCCAAAAGTCCCTACTGAATCCTCTGACTTGCGCCTACCTTCAGGGAACAGCAGCTGTAGTGTTTGGAAAGAGCCTAGCACCTAAAGTCAAAACACCTGGATTTGAGTCGACTACGTGATTCTGAGCATGGCAGCTGAACTCTGACCTCCCGCCCTCATGTTCAGAACGATTCCCACCTGTAGGACTTTTGAACAAGCTAGCTGGAGACTCAAACCTGCTTTCAACGTCCAGGTGCCAACCATGGAATAAACATTTTCAAGTAGCTGCTAGTTTCTCAAATCTAACGTAAATTTTAATCAGTACAGTTTACCCTAAAAAAATGCTGGGTTTATAAAACTAAAGTAAAGCCACATCCAGGCTGCAACGGAACCCTTCTACAAAATGAAAACTAAATCCACCAACTGACACAGTACGTTTTAAGGAGAAACAGACACTGGAGATGTCTGGACTTGTACCTGGTAGACATCTGGTTTGACAACAATAAGGACTGAGTATCAGAAGGAATAATCTGTCAAGATCTGTGAATTCAAACCCAAATCTCCACTAATCCAAACAGAGGATTGGCAGTCTCATGTGGCCCACGGGGCTGGCCTGGCTGCACCACGCCGGGATCCGGTGCTAATTAATCCGCAGGGCACACTTCAAGGGCACAGGCACCGTGTGGCGTACTTGGCCTCAGAAAGTAACTTCTCTGTTCCGACCCCCACAGGCTCCATGGGGAGCCTACTTTAGGCTACTACAAACAGATCAGCGTTTCTAGGGCCCAGGGAGCGCGTGGATGGGTGGGCCCGGGGGTGTTTACCAGGGTCAGCAGCTGAGGAAATGCCCCAGACTTCACCCATCCACACCGGCCTCCAGCAGGCCTTAACAAGAAGGTGCTGGAGGTGGAGAAAGGTCTCTCTTCGTTTGCCAGGCCGCAAAGCCACAGCTTCCACTGGCCAACAGCATCCCCGGGAACAGTTCTGCGCTCTCCTATCTCTGCCAGGGGATGCCAATTACCAGGTCATTTATAGGAAAGCCAACTCGGGTGCTCGGTCCCATCTCAGCCAGCAGCACTGCGCTCGAGCGCTTCCATCCCTGGAATGTCCCTTCCCTTGGGGAGAATACAGAGAAGTGTTGCTCATTAAACCAATCCGTTGGTTAGCTCCACATAATTGAAAATGTCATAGTCTGGAAATGCATTTTTCCCTCCCCCTGCCTCTCCCATAGAGGACGGAATCGAGCCTGCAGGTCTGAGGAAGACGGTACACAGAGCGCGGGGGTAAGACGGTGAGGGGCTGACCTCTGCTCCCCTCAAGCATCTCTCCTTCCTCCCTCCTGCATCTCACAGATGCTTCTTGCACTTGGTTTGAAGGCAGCAAAGGTGAAAGAGGCAAGAATCTCACTGCCCAGTGGGGGAGCAAGACAAGGGGGTGACCTCTTCCAATGAGCTGCAGTGGATAGGGAGGGTGGCAGCGGAAAGGTCACTGCAGGCAACACCAGGGGGCAGGCAACACCAGGGAGGGCATGAGGATGTAGGAGGTAGTGAAGGCAGCCTTGGCAAAGCGGGACCCTCCCTCAAAGATAAGGTGTTGCCGGCATGGTAGGGTCCTGAGAGGCAGGAAGACAAGCTCCAGGCACATTTGGGATGGCTCCCATCCTCCAGGGGACACGGCGGGAAGGCTGGCTGCCTGGGGGATGGGGGCAGCATGACCCTGCTGGCCTTTCTCTAGCGGTGTCCAGCTGTAGGGGCATGGAAGGAGTTGGTTAGTGGAACAGTCTGGGAACTGCTGGGTCAGTCTTGTTTGGGACCACAGTTCAACCCAGGGAATGTCTGGCAGACTGGGAGGCATGGGAAGGCCTGGTGGCTTCCAAAGGGACACGGGTGAAGAAGAGGGAAGTTCAGGGGCCGTGAGTGTAGGCTGGGCTCAAGTCTGAGAGTGGAGATGGAGCGCTCAGGCAATGAGGACTGAGGGTGGCCTCCAGGGCGTGGCCAGGGCAGTCTTGGCCCTGCAGATGTCCCCAGAGTGGGTGGGGTTGGGAAGGAAGGGCTGGCTGTCTGCCTGGAGACAGGCCTGCAGGTCCTGAAGGTAGAGAAGCTGCCTCCTCCAGAGAGTGCAGCCCAGGTCGGGTTCAAATCCATCTTTAGTTGGCAGTGGCCTACCTTGTGCGAGGCCTCATGGCCCAAGGGGAGGGGCAGAGTCTGGTCCCCAGACTCTGGAGCTCAGGCAGCAGGTGGGGTGGGGCCAGAAGGAGCCCTACATTTCTGCCAGGTGGCACAGGCTCCAAAGGATGCGCTCCTGGCTGAAGCCTGTGGGGTTTTTTTGTTTCGTTGTTTTTATAAGGAGCAGAGAAAAGAGTTCTTGTAGGACAACGGTGACCCTCTCTCTAAAGATGAGCGATTCTCCCTGGCAGGTCTATTAGGAATATTTCCAGGGGGGAGGTTTTGGAGTTAGCCTGTCTTGATTCCTCTAAACATCTGGGGCACGGGCAATGGCGAGTGTCTGTCACACAGGCGCGCGGGGCGGGAGCCTCCCAGAGGTGTCCACCTGCATCCCTGCCCCTTTCCCTGGGAAGCCCCAGCGGCTGCAGGACCCGGACTTGGCGCCGCACCCCGCCAGGGATCCCGCGGGGCTGGGGACACCTGGCCGCCCCCCAACTCCGCGGCGGTCCTCTCTTTCTTCCGCTCCATCCCGAGCCTGCCCAGGAAGAAGCCGCGTCCCTCCCCTGGCGAGCGTCCCCGGTCCAATTCCGGCCCCCATAGCTGGGAGGGGACCCCCTCCCCGCCAACCCCCCGCGGGCAAGGGAAGGGTGGGCGCGGAGCCGCCGCCGAGCACTCACCCGAGCTGCCCTGCCCGCCCCGCCCGGCTCCGGGCTCGCGGCAGGCGGCGGTGGCGTGGCCGTGCGGCCCAGTGGCCAGGCCGGGGCGCCGAGCGCGGCCCCCTCCCTCCTTCCGCCGGTCGCACGGGGTACCCCCCCCGGCCCCGCCTCCGCGGGCCGCCCCGCCCCCGCCGGCCGCCGCAGCCGCTGCCATGGCAACGGCGCGCCGCCGTCACGTGACTGGCCCGCGGGGGCGCTGCCGCCACGTCACCCTCCGGGCCGGGAGGGGCGGTGCTCGAGGGCTCTCCTCTGGGAGAGCGGGGGCGGGGGTCTCCGCCCTGTGGCCCCGCAGCCGCCGGGACCACCCCAGGCCCGCGCGCAGGGGAGTGTGGGGTGCCGGGGAGACCGCGAGCCGCGCGCATCCCTCCTTTCCCGGCCCGGGCTCACCGGGAGTGGCCTCAGGGCGGCGACGGGGCGCGTGGGAGGACTGGGCCCGGCCTCCGCGACAGACCAGGAGCTGGGCTTCCTATGCCCCTAGGTCTGAGCGCAGAATGGGAGCCCGGGGTTGGCAGCGTGAACCTCGAGGGGTGCCTGGCACCGGTGCATGGACGCGTGGAGGGGTGGGGCGTGGGAACAGGGCGGGCAGGCGTGAGGTAGGCAGGGTCGGGGAGAGAGGTGGAAGGGGAGGGAGGCTGCGTCTGGCCGCTCAAGTCTGCCCAGGTGCACAATGGCACCACGCAGAGCTCCTCGGGGGGTCGCCCGTACCGCACCGGCCCAGCGACACCAGCGGGGACCCAAGCCTGGCGCAGCGCTCTCTTTCTCATGGCTGTTGGCTGACGGCACCGAAAGGTTTCTGCAGTTCCCAGCCCCTTCTGTTCGCTACTGCAGATAAACTCTGCGGTTTTACCACCCAGATACTCAAACAGTAAAGTTCTTATCAGGAAGTGCATATGAGTAATTCACTGAAGGCGAGATGGGTTCCTATCAGCCTTTGGTGCCACACGGCCCCCTGGTATCCTTCCTACGAGCCTGGTAGGCTGCCGCGTGCCCTACATAGGATTTTTCCATCTGTCACAACAGCATTGGACCGTGACACATTTATCCAATCGCAAGAAAAATTCCACTTGTGTCAACCAATCCAAGTTTTCTGGCAATTGGCAGAGTAGATGTTACAGACATCAGGCTAAATCCATTTACACTTCAGGTTGCACTTTTTTTTGAGCCCAGGCTGGAGTGCAGTGGCACTATCATACCTAACTGCAACCTCAAACTCGTCCCCTCAAGTGATCCTCCCGCCTCAGCCTCCCAAAATGCTGGGATTACAGGTGTGAGCCACCGTGCCCAGCTCAAGTTGCGCTGTAGTGGCCATTGCTGGGAGCCGGAACGATACCTTTTAATCCAGGAGAGCATTTAGAAACTAATAAACCAGGTTCCCTCCTCCTGGTTACTGACCTAACAGACAGGTTAGGCCCTAACAAGGGCATAAGAAAAATCCCAGGTTGACTCCTGCCCCTCCCACCCTACCCCTATATATGGTTATGGGAAAGATATGTTTGAATTTCAGGGGCAAAGTTCCCCAAATGCAATCATACTGTGGCTTTCAAATGTGGAGCTCTTGGTAAGAGGAAATGGAAAACAGGAAGAAAACACTTTGCAAACTGCAGCAGTTGCATCATAGATGAACATCCTTTCTGCAAGGGAGGCCTTGGCTTGTTGAATGCTCACTCCTGCAGCCTGACTTAGCTCATCCTTGAGAAAGCTTCTCATGCCAGTTAGCGTGCCTCCGCCCCCGGGCACGTTTATGCAGCTTGCCGAGACAGAAGCAAAATGCAAGTCATAATTACCAGTGCTTTTCAGAGCTAGTTTCCTAACCAAACACAGAGAATGGCTTTGTTTTTCCCCTAAAAGACCGAGGAGGGTGACAGCACCATGTTGAAAGGAGATCTAACAATTACAAAACTAGTATTAATAGTAGGAGGGTCCCCCTCGGGTGCACAGGTAGTTGAGTGGGAGTTACACAGAGGGGAAGGAGGTTCAGGTCAAGGTGCACAAGTGCCAGCCACCCAGCCAGAATGTCCGGGCTACAGTCTGGGCTATTTCCCTAGTTGGTTGACCTGGGCAAGTCACTTCCTCTCCTATGGCCTCAGCTACCCCACATTTGCAAAAGACCAGTTCTTAGTGGCACACGTAGAGGGTCAGCCACCTTCTAGTCCTGCTCATGGATGCATGTCCCCTCTGTTAGTGGACCGTGGTCCTTGCTTTCCTCTAGACCCCAGGTCTTAGCGCTGATGGCCTCCAAGTTAGTGTGGCTTGTGTCCCCTCGTGTCAGTTCTGGCCCCTCGGCCATTCACTCCTATGATCTAGCGCCTGTCCTCACCCAGTGTCCATCTTCTGACCTTTCTCACTCACTCCAGTCCCCACTACCCCTCCTCCCCGACCCAGCAAGCTCCACCTTCCTCCCGCTCCCTCTCCTTTCCCCTGAGCCTGATGCTTTCCAGCCACGCTCCTGCCACTGTCTTACCTTCTTTAACCTCCTGCCACCACCTTTCCCCACTTGATGGCCAGCCTTCTCAAGAGCTGCACCCAGCCATTTCCTCCTCGGCCCTCTGCAGTCTAGACGGTGTGTTGCCAACCTCAGAGGATGTTTAGCAGTCAGCCTTCTCTGCCATTGGGGGCCCCTCCCTTGTCAGGAAACACCCTCCTTGCTTAGCTCTGGTGACTCTGCCTGTTTGACCCCCTGCTGTCTCCTAGATACATGTGCTCCTCGGGGTTCCGTCTGGGTCCCCTCTCTTATCTTGACTCCTGATGGGTCTCATCCGCCCCTGTTGTTTCAAGGACCATGGCCGCCTGACGGCCCCCCAGCTATCGCCTCCAGCCCTGATCTCTCTTCCCAGCCTGGGGGACATCTCTGCAGCACATATCCCTACGGACCTCAACTTCACCGTGCCCACAAATGAGCCTGTCATCTTTCCCTCACATGCTTGCTCCACCTCCATCATCCCCTCAGCTGGTGACACTGAATCTCATGTCCTCCTGGACTCCTCCCCTCCCTAGCAGGTCTTGTGAATTCTCTCCCGGAGGTCTCTGGTCTCCCCCACGTCTCCCTGTCCCTGCTCGCCTCCACACTAACTCAGGCCCTCGTAATCTCTGACCTGCACTACTGCAGGGCCCCCCCATCTGTCCCCTTCCCGTCTGTTCTCTGCACCGCAAAGTCAAAGGCCCCCCTCGAGTCTCTCCACTCCAGCCC